CGTGTTTCATATTGCCTAATAATGGTTATAAAATGATGTTCAATTGGAACATTAACACAGTATAATTAGGAATGACTAACGTGTTTCATATTACCCAATAATGGTTATAAAATGATTTTAGTCATTCCTAATTATACTGTGTTAATGTTCTAATTGAACGATGTTCATTTAGATGCAATCTTCGAGCGATTAAGTATTGATGTGTTTTGAAAAAGGCTTAATTTTTCAGTTGATAACTGACGATACATACTTCCAGAATATCTGTAATCCTGGACAGAATATACTGGTACAGTTCCTTGGCATCAAGAAACGTATCTGGATGAAGCGAGTATTTTGAATAAGCTTTTTCTAATTGAGTCGTTTTTCTTCTTACTGTTGGAGTATCCTACAAGATAAACTTGTGAGTATTATTCATATTGTTAAATCGATAATAAGGTCGAAATGAGACTGATAATTCTACAACAGGATCTTTGTTCTCTCGACATTTCGACTACACTCTTCAGAAGAAGACTCGTAGTCAAAACATTGAGAGAATAAAGATCCTGTTATAGCATTATTAATCTCATTGCTACCAAGATAAACTTGCCCGATTAAAACACATTTTCTACAGTGAAAAATTTTTTCTTCTGCAAATGTCTCTTCATATAAAGTTAATTATTTTATTCTTTGTTAATACTTTCCTAACAAAATTGTATTAATATTAATAGTATCTAACAAGTACGTTTCCATGGTTTTTGGAAGAAAGTTATTTAAAGAAAATCTCCTGCTCTATCTATACTTGTAGATAATAATAATAAAAAAAACAGCAGTTAACCTGGTGAACAGAATCCAAACTTACAACTAAAATATGAGAATATCTTAGTTATATAGGTAGTTTTAGCTCAATGATATAGATATCTTGTTAAAATCTTATCGTTTAAGATCCAAAACGGACTGGATTATGTATACATATGCTTTTTTTTTACCTTCAACGATATATATATATATATATATCTTATTAACTCTTTAGGCATGCCCATGACTGTATGGTGACTACATAATGCAGTTTGAATGTCCTGCTTGAAATGAAAAACAAGCACATAGAATCAAGAGATAAATTCTAATCTGTTTCATAACCACTATGGCGTATGTTGCTATTCAAAACATCTGTAATATTTCTAGTTGGAAATTGTTTAATTTTTATGGACCCAAAATGGCTACAAATCGTTCCAATATTTTCACCCTTGAAGAGACAGTTAAACTTGTGAAAGCTGTCAATGAATCTGAATTACCTAATGAAGGGTTAACATTCTCAGAGAAATGATAAGATTAGGTTTGTTTAATGAAATAATTAAAGATAAACTTTGTAGAACAGTGAGTTTTTACTCATTATAAAAGGAAGAAAGAAAGTGATACTTACAACCATAATATAAAGCAACCGCTTTATTCGAAACCATCTTGAACAGACACCAAACCTTTGAATTCCTCGTTGATGCATGCTTTCATCTATTATAGTGTGACCAAATATACCAATTTCTAACGCACAAGATGTTACTTCTGAAACTTTTTCATCATTATTACGGAGGAAACACTGGAAAGATAAAACGATTGTGAACAACCAAGACATCTTATTGTGAAAAAAACAAAACATGTCAAGAACCAAAAATTATTAACATACAAAGAGTATTTATAAATTTGTCTTAGTAACTCAGTAAAGCACTTTAATGATGCATAAAACTACTTCAAATTGATAGTATCATAATAAACAGAATATCACAGTAACCAAGACAGAATGTGTAAATAATTTATAGCCGGTTTTGTTACATGTAGATTATAATCCATGAGTGAGTCTTCATATGACATATCTATCGAGAATATAGATGAACATTCAGTGTGTCCCATGAAGACTAGATGACATATGTATCGAGAATATAGATGAACATTCAGTGTGTCCCTAGTCTTCAAATGACATATGTATCGAGAATATAG